GTGTGGCACTCTCTTTTCTATGATCTTATGTTTTGTATTAGAGGCGAATTTCATTCTTTTGGGTCTCAAAGTTTGCATAGCATAATACTTGCCCTGTATTCTTTGATTTTTTTCTTTTTGAATTGTGCATTCTGAATCTTCATCTATCATTGTTGGAAACCATGCTAATTTGCCATAAGACATTTCAGGTAGTGGTGTGTGCTCTAGATACATAGTAAATGGAAATCTAAACAATCAAGAACATACATATTTTAAAAGTTCTAAATTTTGTATTTATTTTTCAATGTTTTACTTCTCAATTCCATCGCTTTTATTTCGAAGCGGAATATCAATCCAATAACTCGATTTTGTTGTGCCTAATCGTTGTTTTTCAAGGGTCTTATGTTCGACAGTTAAGTTATAAGGATGATTGTACTGTCTTTGATGAAAAATATATACTAGTCCTACTGCTAAATTATCAATCTTCGATTTTGAATGATCAACCTTGAAAAGAACATGTATATCTCTTGACTTATATACTCAGACTGTTTCTTTATCTGCCTTAAAAGAAAAAAAGAATTAATGACCCATACCTGTATTTCAAATGGATTACCACTTTTTTTTGGAACAATTTCATATTTAGCAAACCATATCTCGCCGTTTTCCGTACGCTCCGGACCACAATAACTGTGATACCTATTAAAAAAAGTTACTAAGTATTCTAATATCTGTTTTTAATTACAATACAACCAACCTTGATATAAACTCCTTCGTTGAAATACACACAACTTCATCGTTTGGCTAGAAATCAGAAATAATTCATAAAAATCTTTTTGCATCCTCTCTCTATAGAACCCTTCCGAGGCATTATTCAGTAGATTCAGACAGATAGTGATTGTCGAAGTCACAGATTTAAATGATATTCATATGAGTTGTAGGGCTATATGTAACTACATAATGGTAGAAACAACGTTACTTAAAAGTACTTCGTTCTCGAGGCACAGAGGGCACAAGGGATGCCATCACAAATCGATAATTCTCATCACGTTCAGGATTAAATTCAAGGGGGGGGGGAGGAGGAAAGCACTTTTTTAGTAAAGCGCCTTTCGACACCTCAGCACCTTTTTTGGCACCTAAAACTACCGATTTAGTCTATCAGTAACGTTTTCACTTCGTAATAATTCAAGATGGCGGATGGGCAAAGGGATCGAATCCGACCAAGACCTTTTATTTTTTATATTTTGCTTTCATTTGTATCAAAAATAAAGTATTATCGTCATTTTAGCAGTATGATGCAAATACAGCCAAACTTCGCTCTCGAAGTTTATTTATAGATGAGACTGAAAAAGTAACAGCTACACGGATATTATATAGCATATAATACATTAAAGCCAGTGAAAAGACAAGAGAACAATAGAATGATGACAAGAGAGAATAATTTAGGGAGGCGATTGATGAGAGGAGACTTATGACTCCTTACAAGTAGAGTGCAAATAAAATCTTGCCGAAAAATTAGTTATCATGTGAAGTTTCTATCTGAGTCAATGATAAACAACCGTTTTGCCTATGATTGACAACGAAATGAGCTCAAAGGAGAGGGATAAAGATAATCGATGGCTAAGAAAATTGCTATTTTGCAACTTCGCTCAGACTAATAGAATCTGTCTAACTCCTGTCCCTATACTTTTGTCATGATGATATTGCTTAACTTTTATATTTCCATTAGTTTTCGATCCATTCATTTTCGATGTTTCATATGTAAGCTTCGATGGATATACATCAATTAGATACTCTTCCTGATGATATATTAGATTATTCTCAAGAGAAATTCCACAAATTTGTGTGTCAGTATGTGTGTGAAGAAGCTACAGAAATTTTCAAAATATAATCGATTAGAAGTGTGACTTCATTAGCATTAATGTCAACTGAAAACATATTATTGATATTACAGTCTGAATCGCTAGTTGTAACAAATATCAAAAAGAAGACTGGTTTTGGGTTAAACGATGGGAAATTTATGGTTAAATCGGGAATAGAGAATGGAATCGATTATTTAATATTATTACTGAAACAAAAAAAGAAAGAATTAGCAACACGTGCAGAATCGAACGAGAATGAATATGGAAGCGGAAATACTTTAACAAGTTTATTACTGGGTTTATATGAACAGGGTTATACAAACGATGATGAGCAACCTTTCTTATCTTTAATATTAAAGAATATCGCGCAAAATATGAATCAATCCGTTGAATGTACAGTTAAATGGTTTTTTTGTGCGTGATTTACTCTTCTATGTTTAGGTGGACGAAATTGTTATGATTTCGTCAGATTTAATCTCTTCTGCGCTTTACCGAGTATCATCACGCTGAATAATAGATAAAACAAGTCATATCACCGGACTTCGAAATTTTCAAATGCGATTTGAGTCTGGGGGAAGGCGATATTCGGAATCAGCGTGGCCGATTGCCTATGGGTCCATGATTTTTAGTCCGGGGTACTTCCGGAAATTAAAGTCGGGGGCCTTTAAAAATAATTCGAAAAAAATTTACGCGCTGACGAGTATTCGATTCTCGATTCTGTCTCGTCATAAACTGAGGTTTTATCTATTGCGCCATCAACGCTCTTCAGCAAGTAGATACATTTTATACTGTAGGTGTTGCTGTTTCGTATCGATTTTTCATAACCAATATTTTCATATTGTCTCTATAGTTTACTGAGCTACGAATCTATACTCTTGTCGTCTGGTCTACTATCAAGTACAGAAGATAGAAAACGAAAACAATAAGTATGAGTATTTTTCTTCCTTATAATAAAATTTTTCGTTATTTTTCAACGTTTTCTTATGCGCTTGACTTTTCTTTGAATCAGAACAGACAACTCTATTGAGCAGATATCGAATGCAACTGAAGTGCATCGAATCAGCTAGAGCTATCATTCATCACACAGAGAGATTATTATACGTTAATACTATATTTTCTGCGACAGCAGCAGCATTGTTTACATCTACCAGAAATCAAGTATAATACATGTAAAATGAATTCTATATAAAAAATAAGTGCAATATAAATCTGAAATAGAAGATAAACATAGAGAAGAATATGTAAGATGTAAACAACTCG